TCGGACCTCTCGTGGGGTCTCTTGGAGGTTACCTGGGAGCCTTGAGAGCCGTCGGAAGGCTGACTTGGGCGGCTTGGGAGCTTCTTGGACCATCCTTTCGCATTCTGGGGGCTCCTGGGAGTCGTCTTGGGCCCTCCTGGAGCGCTGTGGAGGCTGGGATGCAGAACAAGTTGTTTGCATTGAGAAAAACGTGGAAACACTACCTTCTGGAAAAACCAAATGTTTTAGCTTTGGGGAGCCCTCCTGGAGGCCCCTGGGAGGCCTGTGGGAAGCCTCTGGCACCAGGCGGGAGCAGCCCCTGGAGTTCCCTGCAACCTCCTGGGGCTCTGTCGGCTCTGGGTCGCCGAAACCTTTTTAAAAACATGAAAAAACACCGGGGAAGTGCGCGCCGATCCTCCCATGCGGAGCCATCTGGGGACAAGGTAGGGAGCCTTTGGACCGAACCGGGACGGTCTGGGCGTCCTCTGGGGCTGCCGTGCAGCGTGGGGGTGCAGAACAGGCTGCATGGAAAAAACGCGAAAACATGGGAAACCAAGTTTGTCAGCTTCGGGGAGCTCTCCTGGAGGCCTCTGGTAGGCCTGTGGGAAACCTGGGGCACCAGGCGGGAGCAGCTCCTGGAGCTCCCTGCAACCTCTTGGGGCTCTGTTGCCTCCGGGTCGCCGGAACCTTTTTTTTAAGCGCATGGAAAGTAAGGCCCTGGGCCCCCCATGCGCCGCCGAGGTCCCTGGGCGGCCCCCCCACGGCCACGTCCCCCGGGATCTCTCTCTCTCTCTCTCTCTCTCTCTCTCTCTCTCTCTCTATATATATATGTATGTCTAGACACTCATAAACATACACATTTATATATAGAGAGATGTATATATACACTTACGTGTGTGTATATGTATGTGTATACGCACGTATATATGTATATATTAAACAAAAAAGCGAGTCCTTTCTAACTCCTAAGAATTCCTTACACAATTCCGTTATAACTGCGTATTGTCCTTCCTGGCCCAGACCTCTAGTTCTTTTCTGACTCTGGAAATTCCTTACCGAATTCCCTTATGGCTCCTTCATTCCCTCCCAGCGTCTCGAAAAAAAAACATTTAACTCGTGCAATTCCTTATCCTGTTCCCATCTAGCTTTTCTTTTGCTTCCTGGCCCAGACCTCCTGGCGTCGTGCACAAACATTCCTGTGGAACTCCGGACATTCTGGACAACATACCATTATATATCTTTTTTCCTTCCTGGCACAGACCTCATGGCGTCGTGAACCAAAAGAACAAACAACATTCTTTCTAGTTATGATAATTCCTTACCAAATTCCATTATAAACCCTTCTTCGTTTTTCCTTCCTGGCCCAGACCTCCTGGCGTCGTACATAGGACAACGCAAGTCCTCTTCAAACTCTGAAATTGCCTGATCAGATTCCTGTGTAGCTCCTTTGTTCCTTCCTGCCCCAGACCTCCTGGCGTCGTAGACAAAAAAAAAAAAGGAATTCGTTCCTTTCTAACTCTGGAGATTCCATATTACATTACTTTATAGTTCCTTGTTTCCTTCCTGGCCCAGACCTCCTGTCGTCGTTTTTCTTTGGAAAGAATGCATAATCCTGTTAAACTCTGGAAATTCCTTATCACATTCCTCTCTAATTCCTTTGTTTCCTTCTTGGCCCAGACCTCCTGGCGTCGTAAACAAACAAACGACATCCCTTTCTAACTCAAGATATTCCTTGTCAAATTCTTGTCTAATTCGTGTTTTCCTTCCTGGCCCAGACCTCCCTGCGTCGTGCCCCCAACAAAATATTTATAAAAAACGAAGTTCCGTTATATTGCCGACTTCCTTTTTAACTATTTGTTTTCCTTCCTGGCCCAGACCTCCTGGCGTCTTTAGCAAAAGAACGACATGCCTAACTCTGGAGATTCCTGATTCGATTCCTTTCTAGATCTGTTTTCCCTTCCTGGTCCAGACGTCCTGGCGTCGTGAACCAAAAAAACTAAATTCCTGACTATTGCCAAATTCCTCTGTAACTCCTTTGTGTTCCTTCCTGGCCCAGACCTCCTGGCGTCGTAGACAAGACAACGAAATTCCAAACTCCGGGAATTCCTTATCAAATTCCTCTCTAGCTCCTTGTTTCCTTCCTGGCCCAGGCCTCCTGGCGTCGTGGAAAAAGAAAACGAATTCCCTTTCTAACTCAGGAATTTCCTTGCCAAATCTTTCTCTACCTCCTGTTTTGTCTTCCTGGTCCAGACCTCCTGACGTCGTAATCAAAATTATCCCAGTGCGACCCTACCTAGGAGTTGGAGCCTCGAGGAACGCAACATTAGTAGGAGCGGTAAAAGCCGTCCTCCTCCTTCTCCTCATGCTCTGCTATGCTATGCTATGCTCTGCTATGCAACGTTACGCTATGTTATGCTGCGCAATGCTATGCTGGCTAGGCTAGACTAGCCTATGATATGCTATGCTATGCTATGCTATGCTGCGCTATGCTATGCTGCGCTATGCTATGCTATGCTATGCCATGCTGCACTATGCTATGCTATGCTATGCTGCGCTATGCTGCGCTATGCTGCGCTATGCTGCGCTATGCTATGCTACCCTAGGCTGCGCTATGTTATGCTAGGCTATGATATGCTATGCAATGCTGCGCTATGCTATGATATGCTGTGCTATGCTGCGCTGTGCTATGCTATGATATGATATGCTATGTTATGATGCGCTGTGCTATGCTATGCTGGGCTATGCTATGATATGCTAAGCTAAGCTACAGCTACAGCTGCAGCTACGCGAAGCTAAGATGAAGCTAAGCTAAGCTCAGCTAAACTAAGATGAGATACGCAAAGCTAAGGTAAGGGGGCGCAACTGGGGGAACCGCGGGGCGGATACTGGGGGAACCGCCCGGGGCGAGTTGCACTGCCCGGCCCTTGAAGCATACCGAGTAAGAATCCTTCTAGGCAGAGCCTAGGTAGGGAAAAACGGCATTCCTTTCTAACCCAGGAAATTCCTTATCAGATTCCTGTCTAGCTCCTTTTTTCCTTCCTGCCCCAGACATCCCGGCGTCGTGCCAACAGAAAACGAAATTCCTCGTTGTCACAAAATTCCTGTATAACTCCTTGTTTCCTTCCTGGCCCAGACCTCCTGGCGTTGTGAATAAGAAAACGAAATTCCGTCCTTACTCTGGGAATTCCTTTTTCCGATTCCTGTCTAACTCCTCTTTTCTTCCTGGCCAAGACCTCCTGGCGTCGTAAACAAAAACGGGATTTCGTTCCAGCTCTGGGAATACCTTACCCAAGTCCTTTATAACTCCCTGTCTCCTTCCTGGCCCAGGCCTTCTGGCGTCGTGAAAAAATGAATTCCTTTCTAACGCAGGAAGTTCCTTACTAAACTCCTGTTATAACTCTGTTTCCCCTCCTGGCCCAGACCTCCTGGCCTCGTTGAAGACTTTGTTCAGGAAAACATTTCAACTCAAGAAATTTCTTATCACATTCCTTTTGAACGCCTTTTTTTCCTTCCTGGCCCAGACCTCTGCAATATTAATTCCCGTCTCTACTATAGCTGTACTTGCATACAGCGCGCGCTACAGCAAATAATTCCTAAACCAATTAACGCTGTACTGTAGCCCGGAAAACATTAGTACACCACGTCCGCGCACCTGGGACCACGATCCCTCGTAAATTACTAAATAGATGCGCCCCCGAGGCCGTGCACCCGTGTAAATTATACAAGATTCGCGTCCCCGAGGCCATGAGCCATCGCAAAATACCGATCTTCGTGTCCCCGACGCGTAGACCTTTTTGATCATTATACAATATTCGCGTCCCTGGGGCCATAAGCCCTCGCGAAGTATGCAATACTCGTGCCCCCCCGAGTCCATAAACCATCAACAATTACTCAATATTTGCGCCCCCGACGCCATAAACCTCCGTAAATTCCTCAATCCCCGAAGTCATGCTTGTTAATAAATGATACAATGCTTGCGTCCCCCCTGAAGTTACGCAATGCTCGCCTGGTAAATTACACCATATTCGTGTCCCCGACGCCATACACCTTCGTAAACTACGTCGTGTTCGCGTCCCCAAGGCCACAGCCCTTCGTTACTTATACAATACTTGCGCCCCCGAGGCCCCTCCACAAGACTCGCACCCCCGAGGCCAGGATTTGTGTTTGTACCTTACTACGCGAGGACCAACCCAGCCGCGCGATTTGGCCCACCCTGGCCTCAAGCAGCCCACAGTCTTTTCAAGAGGGCCCCCAATGCTCAACACGCAGGGCCAAGTCCAAAATAGACGCAACACCGAAATCAACAAGACCATCTGAATCTACATCTCTCTTGCTGACTCTTACTTATCGTCCTCGCATGATTTTCCGACATAGCTTCAAGAAGGCAGTGTCCCGCTGAGGGGCATGACGATTGTTGACGATTCTCATATTTTTGCACAAGCATTGCATCTCATTCCTGTTGCTCCTGGAATCGGCGAGCCATGGCGCCCCGCGGAACCGCCACGCGCGGTCGTCTTCGCGCCCTCGCGCCCGCGCCCCGCCCCCTGGAGACAAGGGCGGGCGCCCAGGCCCGGTCCGCCGCGCGCGCGCGCGCCGCGCGACCCTTTTTTCGCGCCCCCGCGGGGGGACCCGGGCTCGGAAGCTGCTGGGGGGTCTGCGCTGGTTGCGGAGGCGAGCCCGGGGGGGGGGGAAGCGCGAGGGGGCGGGTCTTCTCGGGAGGCTCGGGAGCCCCCCGAGCTCACGATAAGTCTTCTGAGCCTTCCCCCAAAGGCACGGGAAGCTTCTCAGGAGGCGCGAGGGCTCCCCAGAAGTCCCGCCGCCTTCTGAGAAGGCCTTCTCCTTCTCACTTCCTCCGCCATAGCAACCCGCGGAAGGTAGGCCCTTTGTAGCGAATCCGTGCGTTCCTGGGCGGGGTGGGCGGTGGGCTATCAGCCCCCTATCGGTGATCAGTGTGCGATGGGGGGTAGATGCATCCCTCCACCCCCCAGAGCCTGTCCCCCGTAATTAAATTTGCCCCTGACCTCGCCCTCGCCACCGGACGACGGCGAGCTGCGGACTGCGAGCCGCCTGGGCGAGTTGGAGGCGGACGACGGCGCGCTGGCGTAGAACGCTGGGGTGCACATCCGGCCGAACATGCTCTCGGCCGACAACGCCGGCGCCACGGCTGGCTCCACAGCCGACATCTGCGGCGACATGGGCTGGGCAGAAGAGCGAGAGGCGGCACTCCCCGATGCCATGATTCTTTCATAACTAAGGAAACGAAACATTACATAAACATAAAAGCTCTGAGGTCCGCGCGGGTTTCTTGGATCCGCTCTGGACCCCCATCCCTGGCGCGCGGAGCGCGCCAGAGGCGGCGCCGCAGGCGCCGCCAGGGCGGTCCAGCGCCGATCCGAGAAATCCGCGCAGACGTCAGAGCTTTTATGTTTATGTCACTGTTCGTTTACAGCGTCGACCCCCAGAGGTCTCGACCCATTCCCCGGGACCGGTTTCTCATCCCGACTCGTTTCTGGACGCTCCCGAGGCTCAGTGAGGGCCCCCAGAATGCAGAAATAGGAAAACGGCATCCCGCCATGATTCTGCCATGGCTCGAGGGGGTCTGGGGAGGCAGGGGGGGAAGGAGGAGGAGGAGGAGGAGGAGAAGGAGGAGGAGAAGGAGGAGGGAGGAGGAGGAGGAGGAGGAGGAGGAGGAGGAGGAGGAGGAGGAGGGAAGAGGAGGAGGAGGAGGGAGTCTGGGTACCTGCGCTCTCGGTGGTCCGCGCGGTCTCCTCGGGCCGGCGCTCGCTGGCTACCCCCCGGGTTTCGGCGCGGAGGCGCAAGGGCGCCGCAAGGCGCTGCGAGGAGGGCCTGGCGCTGAGCCGAGAAGAGAAGCCGCGCGGACCTCCGAGAGCAGCAGGAGAAGAAAACACGGCATAAACATACTCTTTGGCGCTCCGCGCGGAGTTCCTGGATCTGCGCTGGGCCTGCCTCCCTGGCGCGGTGCGCGCGCCAGGGGCGGCGCCAGAGGCGCCGCCAGGGGGGGCCCAGCGCAGATCAAGAAATCCGCGCGGAGCGCAAGACATTTAAGCTTGTGGCGTTCCCTGGCGGCTCGCACAAGGGCAAGGGGGTGGAGGGAGGGGGGAGGGTCTCTTAATTAGAAGCAGGGTGCCTCTAAGAAGCCCTCCCCCCTCCCCCCCTCCCCTCTGCGCGTGGCTGCAGTTCTGCTCTCCTTCGAGAGGAGCAGGCCGGGCTCCAGCTCTTCCCCTGGAGGCTCGCGCTGCTCTCGGCCACGCTGGCGCTGTCCACCAGAGACAGCTGCTTCCGGCCGTGGACCGCAGCGCGGTCGGCGCCGCTCGCGTGCAGGCTCTCGTACTCCGCGGCCAGCTCGAGGAGCCGGTGCCGGAACTGCTCGGGGCTCGGGCTCATGGCGGGGAGCTCCGAGTCCCGAGGGGCAGTCGTGCACGCGGTGCGTGTCCCCAGCTTCGGTGGCAACTCGTGGGAGCCTCCAATGCCAGCTTGCTGGCCCTTGCTGATCGACGCTGGATCGGCGCTTCCCCATCGATGACAGGACGCACTCCCATGCACTCCAGGGACGGAGTTGCGAGGACATACAGGGCTCCCACGATTTGCTACCGAACGGTACGCGTCCCTAGTTGCTTGATCCAAAACTGCTCATCGCAAGACACCGCGGCCGAAGACATCTGGGCCACCTTACCGGAGATCAACGGACCCGGATCAATCCAGACCCAGGTCAGTCAGGCCTTGCAGGATCCTGCACGATCCTGAGGGATCCTGCAGGATCCTGCACCCAAACCAGGGCCAGTGCAACCCTGGCTCTGCAGAATCCTGCACGATCCGGCGCTCTGGCTGACTCCCGTTTGCAGTGACCCCAATAACTGGAGCCCCGACCTTCACATCGCGCCCTCGCGCCGACCACTTGGAGAACGCCAACCGCTCTGGCCCTGGCGGCGACGTGCATGGCGCGGTTGTCTTCGCGCCCCTGGGGCGACCCAGGAAGCATATGGTGGTGATGGTGATGGTGGTGGTGATGGTGGTGGTGGTGATGGCGATGGTGATGGTGATGGCGATGGTGATGGTGATGGTGATGGTGGTGGTAGTGGTGGTGATGATGAGGATGATGATGATGATGATGATGATGATGATGCTCGTGGTAATGATGATGGCGGTGAAGATGATGATGGTGGTGGTGGTGAGAATGCTGGTGATGATGCTGACAATGATGATGCTGATGATGACGATTGCGATGATGATGCGGATGAGGAGGAGGATAAGTATGAGGACGAGGATGAGGATTGGGATGGGGATGTGGATGGTGATGATGGTGATGATGATGATTGTGATGCTGCTGATGATGATGGTGATGATGATGATGGTGATGATGATGACGCTGACGATGATGATGCTGATGATGATGCTGATGATGATGATGGTGATGACACTGGAGATGACGATGCTTATGCTGACGATAATGATGCTGATGATGCTGATGATGACGACCATGACGACGACGACGACAACGACGACGAGGATGATGATGACGATGACGATGACGATAACGGTGATGATGATGATGATGATGATGATGATGATGATGATGACGATGACGATGACGATGACGATGATGATGATGATGATGATGATGATGATGACGATGATGATGATGAGGATGATGATGACGATGATGATGATGATGATGATGATGATGATGACAATGAGCGGAGGAGGGAGGAGAAGGTCGTTTTTCCTGCTGCACTCACAGCGGCTGAGTGTGCGTGACAAGGGAGGCACGCCGACGACGGCGGGCGGGAGGACGCAAACTCCGAGAAGTAGAAAGGCAGATCACGCAGATTGGGTTCAGGCCCTCCCAGAGAAGAGCAACACACAGCAAGAAGGCACAGCGAGTCTGGAAGCAGGAAGGCGCTTGAGGTAGACTGCAATCTGAGAACCTACAAACACTTACTTTCAACGTCGGGCGCGTTATGGGGGAGCGACAAATTGGGGGCGTAATGGGATGGGGGAGCGACAAATTGGGGGGGGGGGGGGGGGGACGTGCACCTTTCCTGCCCCGGGGGAGGCCCCGCTTAGGTTCTTCAGGGGACAGTGCACTGTTCTTCACTGAAGGGGCCCTGGGACACACAAATAAATACACACATAACAGGATTCCCCATATTTTCCCATATCTTCTGGGGTTTTTGTCTTCCCCCCAACTTCCTATATTTTTCCATATTTTCTGGGGGGCCCGACGATTAATTGTGTCTGTGTGTTTGTTTCCCTCCCGATTCACACCCTGATGTATCGCCCTCCCATTCTTACGCAGCGCCCGAAACTTTCGGACCACCGTCGGATCGGGCCGGCCGATATCGATCGGATCGAGGTGGTCCCTGCCCCTCTGGAGAACAAACATCACTTCTCGGAAATCCGCACGGATTTCTTGGATCGGCGCTGGACCCGCTCCTCGGCGCAACGAGCGCACCAGGGGTGGCGCCGGAGGCGCCTCAAAGGGTGCCCAGCGCAGCTCCAAGAAATCCGCGAGGCCCTCCGAAAGCGTGGTGTCAGGAGCTTTTACTTGGCGTTCCGCGGCGACGGCCTCCAGCGACACGCCATGCCCTGCGAGGCGGATTGAGGACGAAAAATACAAAATACCCTAAACATATCAAACATACGCGAAAGATCGTCCCCAGATTCTTTCTTTTTTATTGGCTATGTTTGAACATCATTCTTCCTGTAGAGGGACATGCCCGACTTAAATATGGCGCGTCGCTCCGCTCCGCGGGGCGGCAAGCGGGGAACGGCTCGGGACGTTGACCCCCGGGGGCCGCGACGTGACCGGCGCGTCGCGCCGAGGCGAGGTGGGCCAGAACCAGCGGAGCGACACGCCAATTAAGCAAACGCGTCTCGTTGCATGGCTTTCGGGTCATAGCTCGAGGCTCCAGCGGCCGTTCGGGACGATCGGGGCACCCCTGGAACGCTCTCGGCAAGGCGCAGCTGCTGGAAACCGAGGCTGGAGAACCGCCGAGAGCCGACGAGAGAAGGGTCGAAATCCTCCAACCTCGAACGTCCGTGCCCTCGAGGAGTCCTGGAAACCTTCGCGAGCAACTGGTGTTCTCATGGGGACAGCGCCCCCCAGTCGATGCCAGTCCAGAAGAACGTCCACCGTTGCTGCCACCGAGGTTATTTAGCCGAAGTCGCAGAAACTCTCAAAGACGAGATGCAGGGCCACTTTCTCATCCCAAGTCGTTTTTGACTGCCACGGGGCCCGTCAAGGGCCCCCAGAGGCCGAGAACGACCATGAACCTCCCGTCGTCAATGGTTCACGATGCGAGCATGTCTGGCAAACGTTCCCGACCGTATGCTTGTCTCGCCGTCGCTCGGACGTCCCTTCCCCGTACATCTTTCTAGGTAGTGCGTGTGCTTGTCCCGCAAAATGATCCAAGATGCTCCTCAATGACCCTAGAGGCCTCCTAGATGGGGTCGGAGTTGTTGGGGTCGGAGGATCGCGCCGCATCGCCGCATCGGCGATGAACCGGCGATGCATCGTCTGGGGGGCCAACAAAAATACACCACCACCACCACCTCCCTCCCCCCCTCCCTCTCGCTGGACAGAGGAGAGAGGAGGAACCGACGTGGTGGTGGTGTATATTCTTTGGGCCCCCATCGTCGACGTGGACGATGCACCGGCGACGTCGACGTGAAGCAAATCGAGATCCACATCGAGCCGCATCGGCGATGCATCGGCGATGCAGCGCGACCCTCCGACCCCATCTACTCGGACCCCACGTGGGAGGCCGAGAGATCCTCGCCGAGGCAAAACGCACACGTCCGAGCGATGCCAAGCTGTGCTGATGCAGATCCGCCCCCGTCGATCCTGGAAGCGCTGCGCGCGGAAGAGGGCGTGCGCCTCGGCGAACAGCCGGCAGAAGGCCGCGGCGTCCGGCTCGTCCTCCAGGAGCACGCAAAGGTGGGCTGGGGTTAGGTCGGGCATGTCCTCCTACAGGCGGATTTTTGACGAAGGAATGGGCAAAACATGATCGAAAGTAGCCGAAAATGGTCGACGAATCGTCCCCTGGTCTTTTCCCTGGCTATACTTTTGAACATTCCTCCTGTAGAGGGGCATGCCCGACTTAAGGCTGGGGGCATCGGCGAGCCTGAGCGACAGGTATGGATCAGCTCGAGGCTGGCTACGCCGACCCCCGACTCCGGTTTTTTGTTTTCATAACGTTACCCCCAGAAGTTCTTCATCCTGACCGTTTTTCCCGAATCAGTACTTGCACTGAGGGGGTCCTCGCGGAAATTGAAAGATTTGGCAACAAAAATCCCGCCGATTTTGGTAGCTGGCTGGGTTCCTGGGTTCCCGGTTCCGGATTCACGGGTTCCTGGTTATTGGCTCCGGGCCGAATTCGGTGGGTTCCGGGTTCCCGGGCTCCCGGGTTCCCGGTCGATCTCCTTATCGATCTCTTGATCGATCCAATTTAAAACCATCCACTGATTTGGGTTTTTCTCTGGTATCAAATTCTTGACTTGCCTTCGCCCGATGTTATCCTCCTCCTGGCTTCCTCTTGGGTGCCCACATCGCAAGCCAGCAGGCCCAGCCGTGCTTTCCCTGTCTCGGTAAAGGGCGAGTGGAGACGACGGGCATGGTAGGTTCACGTCTCGAAACATCGAGACCGAGGCTTCCATACTTTTCGGCCTGTCGGGGCCCTTCCTGGAGGGTTCCTCCGAAGGGCTTCGGCGACCCGTCCACCTCCTCCTTCTCCTCCTCCTCCTCCTCCTCCTCCTTCCCTCCCTCCCTCCCTCCCTCCCTCCCTCCCAACCTCCCTCCTCCCTCCTCCCTCCTCCCTCCTCCCTCCTCCCTCCTCCCTCCTCCTCCTCC